CCGAGGACAAAAAACCAACCATCAGCAAAAACCCTTGCTATCAAACTCCATTTGCCATACCCCCTTAGGGGGGTCCCCCTAAATCATAATTCATTCGATTCCCCGTTCAAGTCGTGCCTGCGGAACGAGCCCCTGTCAAGAAATTCAGAACAGGTCGATTTCTGGCCCCGTGAACCCCTGGCCTCACAGAGGATTGTGCGGCTGAAGTGTTCCACCAGTGGCGACAGCGAGGGCTCTGCTGCGAGTGACTCCTTGCGACAAGCGACCGCGGAAAATGGACAGCGGAAGACTTGTATGAATCCGAAAAGGCTTCCATCCGGCTGTCTGCATGCTTCTGTGCCTGATTCTGTGCCCTGCGCATGGCTTTGCGCCTGCAGTTCGTGGACATGCGATGGTCCCCGGTTTCTACACGTGCCTCATCATCCCTGAAAGAGATTCGCACAAGCTAGAGCTAGAAGCCCGCACAGGAAGAGTACTAGACATGGCGTAGCATGTCCTCGAACATACGAACCCCAAGAGCCTTGGCTTCTTGAAGCAGTCTTCGGCGCACGCCCGCCTCTCGAGCTTTGCAGATTTTTGGCATCGCGCCGCTTCGGCGACACAAGAAGGCTTCAACAAAAGCGTAGGAAATGTCGAGCAAGACGGCAGTCGAGAAATGAACGGATGGCAGAGTCTTCCATCACCGCACAGAGGACTTGACATCCTCCGGCAACAAATCAACGAATGCAGGGAACGTCACATAGACCCTAACTTTCCCAGCGAAGCAAGCAGCACGAAGCGAAAGGCATGGAACCCGCTCTTCATGCAAAAGTTGCCTTCTCCGTGTTCTCACCGGCACCAAGGCTGAGTGCTGAAGTGACCGCCATAATGTACCTCATCCAACTCTTATTGTCTGCAACAATAACATAAGTGTGAGCTGCTGTGTACCTTTTCGACCCTTTCTCAGCAAATTTGCGGGTTCAGACAGTGCGCACTATCTAGCACAATCTGCTCGAATCCTGGAACTCTCATACGAGCCCTGCTGGAACTGGAAAGTCGGAACGAATACTGCCGCAGCACAGCATGACATGTTGGCTTAGAGGCTTAGCGCCAAGGTGCTGAAGGCATGCCACGCCCTCCAATGCGAAATCATTCCTCGGTCCAGGCTGCACGGCGCTTACATGGGGAAAGCCTGCGATTCGACAGCACGGCCAGGCTGTCGCCAAGACACATGCACTCGGGGGCAACGAAAGCGACTCGACTCAGCGCCCTTCCGGCAGCAGAGGCTTGGGAAATGAAGGCGTGCTGGGATGGAATTTCGCTCAAGCTTCGCTGCTGCCATCACGCACCGTGACTCTGAGGACTCCGGTACAAGACCCCGGTGCTTCGAGTCGAAACCCACCAGGCTTCCTGAAACAGCCACAGGTTCGCGCCTCAAGGACATCACTCGTGCCGCGAGGGTCTCTGCCCTGCGAGGGTAGGCTGGATTCGAAGTAGGGAGTCACTTCGAAGTTTCTGGACTTCAGCCAGCTTAAGGCCGAGCTAGTGGCTTCGAGGCTTCCGAACTGTGGGGTGCAGCTTGACGGCCTAGACGAGTTGGTCTTTCGGGCCGACTGTCGTGATGGAGACTCTGAGACTTCCACTTCACACCCAAGGGACCAGGGCAGAATTCTCACACCGTACCGGCCTGGCAGGCAAGACGCACAGAAGCCGGAAGAGGTGCTCCTTGCGCGCTCGGCAAGCTGCGTGCTGACGGAGCACCAGACAGCTTCTGAGGCCCGGGATGGGAGATGATGGGAGAATAGAAAATTTTGAATTTCAGTGGCGCGAAACAGCACGGATTTGCAGTCACAGGTGTGAAGTTGTTCACGCCTCGAAACCTTCCCTTCCCTTGAGGGCTTCTCCGGTCCAATTTCCCCCTCCTGTGCGACTTTGGCCAAGTCGGCGTGGCAACAGCTTCTGTCCAGAATGCAGACCAGGTATTCCACTTCATCCTTCCAGTCTCCAGCTACTTTCCGGGATTGCAGCACAGCGCTACGAGAAATCCAGCTCAGCACTCAAAAACATGGTCGGGATTCGCTCGGGCTTTGCTTTGCGGGTTCTGGCAGAGTCCTTCACTGGTGGTGCTTCTCCCAGAGTGGCCAGCTTCTTCTCCATACGCCGGAGCACACCCACGAACCTGAATTCCCAGAGGCGATGAGTTTCTCTTCCAAACTTCTTTTGATGAAGTCCATATGTCAGGACCTTGGGACTCAGGGCCCTCACGCCCAGTATGCTCAGGGCTCAACCCCCCGAGCCTCAAGTGTCCTTCAAATGCCCACCCAAGTCCTGTGCCCCCTCTTGGGCCGCCCACGTGTCACTGGTCATCAGCACTTGACAACTTGCCTGGAGCGGGAACCCTATTGGCCGTTCGGATGAAGCTGGAGCTTTATGTACATGATGGCTTCTTGCCGCGACTCCCATTCAGTTTTGTGCAAGTTGCAGACTCAGTCCAGACTCCTGGACCGAATCCCTGTAACACCGTAACGTACACCCACAACCTCGCCGGCCTTGTTAGAACTCATCGCACAAAGCACCAGCATCACGGGGACCTGGAGCACTGTCCATATTCCCATTGCTACATTCAGCGACTTCTATGCACTTGACAAATCTGTTCTGACATGACGATGCTCCAAGACGCCTCAAGCCGGACACTTCCACAACAAACGAGAAAAACCTAAGTGGGCTCCCGTTGATCCCTTGTTCAAGTCTTCGCGTGCCGAAGGCCCAGACCCGAAGCGTCGCCGTGGGTAGCTCCAGCAGTGAAACCAGGGGCGTCTCGAGGTTCAAGGCACTCATGGCCTAGGAGATGAAAATCACGGGTGCTGCGCTTGCGTGGTTTCTTTTCATCATGTCGAGCGACTGATAAGCCATGCTCGTTGGCCACAAGGGCTGTGATCAGCTGAGCAATGATCCTGCGATCTTGCAAGAATGCAGGTTTGTTGTGCTGCATTGTGCAAGCTGCTGTGCAAGAGGCCTTCATAGGATAAGCTGTGCTATTTGGCACACGGAATGGCCTGAAGGAAGCATCAGCTTTGGCGACTTCATCGGCTGTGGGGCGATGCACTCCTGCGCTGGGATGAAACTCTGCGAGTCCCGTACTTTACGGGGCGATGTGGAAGTCTCATGATTTGCCGGGTCCTGGTGGCATCTCGTGTGCATCCTCGCCTTGCCGCATCTGCCAGGCACGTTCAGCTTCCAGGTCCTTCGATGTCAGGCTGAAGCTGAGGCTACAAGGTTTATGGCAGCGGCCGGAGCTGAAGACCTTTGAGCCCCTTTAGTGGAAGCAAGGAATCAACGCCAAGTTTTGCTTCTGGCTGAGAACATGCGGTGGCTGGCACACACTCGACCCGATTGGAAGAGGTCAGGAGCCAGCCCCAGTCCGCGGCACAGCAACTGCGCATCCCCAACCAAAGTATCTAGAAGGGCCCACAATGCAGCAACCTGTGGTCCTCGGAGAGCTTGTGACCTCCAGCGAGGTCATTCCAGTGGCTGTAATGTGCGGCAAGCTCCTGGCTAGCCAACTCGATCTATGGATCTGCGGAAGTGCCCGAGCAGAACGCTGCATAACAGCTCCTCAGGTTCTTTAGTTTTTCTTAGGCTGGGCGAAGGATGAGTTCGCAAGACACTTTTTCAAGCTTACTGTGGTGGCAACATGGGTCTGTCAATGAAACAATCGCGAATTCCTATCGATTGAATCCCTGTCGTTATCCCTTATCGCTCTACCAGCCCCGAGCTGTGTTTAGTAATATGGTTACATTGAATGCGTGCCTGAGTCCCTGTACGAAGCTTCTTGCGATCTAATCGAGGACTGGGACTCGAGCCTGGGGACAAGCGGGACAAGAGATTTAATTCTAGACAAGCCCCAGTAAAGTAACAGGGCTAGGCTAGGGGGAAGGGGATTGCAGCAGCAGCAATCCATTCGATCATGTCATGTCATCATGTTGTGGCGTCAAACCCGAGGGCCTAACGGGGCCTAATCGCTGCTCTTGAGAATCAGTTCCTCCAGACGGTGTGCGATACAGCTGAGGACGTCGTCTGCAACGAGCGCGACGATCATGGAGGAATCCACCTCGCAACAAGGCTGGAGGATGCGGGCCAAATATGGGCGATGAAACCTGGCTGCACAAGTCGATCTCAGAATCGTTGCTGCATGTCGCGAGGAAGTCGTCCAGCTGTGGCCCTTCTCTTCCGAGTCTAGCTTAGAGCCAGGACTTCCCCAAACTACTGCAGTGGCCTCCACGGCGAAGAGCACCATGTGCAGCCTCGGAAAGCTGGCTTGGCAAGTACAGGGAAAGACAGCTTCGTTCAAACCCGCAGCGAGAAGTCTTGATGTGGGGTGGGCGTCTGAGATCTTAGCCCCAGGCCCCACACCATCCCGAGACTGAAAAAGCAGTCAAAGTGGCATGGCGTCCAGCGAGTCTGAGGGCTGTGTACCGCCCTGAGCAACAAGATCCGGGTCCAGAAGCTTCTTCCGGTGCACCTGGACATCGGGGCTTCGAAGAATTTCCTGCTACTCCAGCTTCAAAAGCCACGGCCTCCCCAAACCCTTTCACGGCCCACAGGCCTTGAACCATCCCACCAGGCGCTCGCCCACGCCGAGGCCGCGCCATCGGGTCCAGAGGTTCGAGGAGATCGAAGACCTCGGATTCCGCACCTGTCTGACCCTTGCCCTCGAATAGATCATCCCGAACTGGGCATAGGAACAGGGATCTGGGGAGATAAAGGTAAGCTGGAGTCAGTGAACGTGATTGTCTTAGCAGCACGGTTCGCGCAAGATGAAACATGTCGCTCTGAAGTGGCCTTAGGGTTGTGGTGTCAGGCGCGGTGTGAAGGCATCACGGTGCGCAGTCTGAGGGTTGACACATCGAACGTGCCCCGGATCAAGCACGTGGTTGAGAGCATGTTCCTTGAATAAACCCTGTCAGGTAGTGGAATCCCTAGGACGCGACCGCGGCAACCATGTAACGACAATTATCATCAGCTCCGGACAAAAGCCTGACTGCTTTATCCTTGCTACAGGTTTTCTTGACCCAGGTAAGAGGCTGCAAAAGTCCCGCGATGAGGTCGGCAGCCACCTGCTTTGGAATATGATCTGTGTCGCTTGGCAAGCAATTAGGAACTGCCTGGTTTCCGCTGAGGCAATAAGATGAGTGCCAACGTGCATTGACGGCAACCTACGTTACAGTGGGTCGAATGCAAAAGTTGCTGACGATCGGTGCTACGTGCTTCCTCCGCAAGCGAGGGACTTTGTGCAAGCATTCGCTGTTGATTTCGCATTTCCTGCTCGACTTCCGTGTGGCGCGTAGTGACTGGAGTGGCTGTGCAGCGGCAGAAAACGACATACACGGGAAACAAACAACTTCAACACGGCTTTTGTTCGCTGCTTTCTGAGCTGCCGCTTCGAGGCAAACAGCGACAAACAGCCGCAATAACATGAAGCAGCTACAGAAGAACAAGAGCCAAGCAAATCCACCTAATCCCAGCCCATAAACGCTTGTAAACCAAAACAACTGCAACCAAGACAGGCAACGCGAGTCAGCCAAAATCCAAAAATCACAACAATAGTCACAACATCAGCAACAAAAAGCCTTCGACAACAGTAACAGTAACAATGAGAATAGCAATAAGAAGAATGATATTGATAGCAACAATATGCAACCATGATAGGAAGAGCAACAAAAAGAATAATAAGACGAATACAAATAAGACGAAGAAGCATAAATTGTAATAACAGTAACAACAACGCTCCGAAGCCCGCGCGCGCGGCAGGACAGGGAAGCGTTTTGCATTGCAAATACTACGAAAAACACAACTGTGTTGCTGATTTGTGCGGGTTGGGAAATGAAGCGTTTGTGCGTCAAAACGCGTTAAAACTCGAAAAATGGCCTCTGCGCAGCTGCCAATGACAGTGTCCCGAAGCCAGGCAGACGCCAACGGATTTTGTTTTGTATGGTCTATTGGCAAACGCTTGTTTGGCAGAAAGTGTGAAAAACTCGAGGAATTTGACCCTCCGACGTTGTCGGAGCAACCATTTATCAAGACAATAACAAAAAGTAGGAAAAATGCAGGAGCATTTTGGCTCGTAAAAACCATGTCGCGGAGTCCCTTGAGCACCTGACGAGCTTACATATGTGGCGCGAACCGTGAAAAACCCGAGGAATTTGCTTTTTTGTTAGCATTGATGTGCTTTAGCGCAGACACGTGGACGGCTCATCGCAGGCGTCAACGCAGGACGAAAATCGATTTTTGAAGGAGTTTCTTGACATGAGTCGATAATGATATCTTGGAAAACCGTGGCAGGAACGGCATTTTGTGAGTTCCATGTGTTTTCACGTGGTTTGTTGTTTCTTGCTTTTTTTTGTTTTTTTTTGTGGTTTGCGTTTGATGGACACGTTTGACCGCATAACAGGAGTTATGGACAGGGAGAAGTCGTGGAATACAGGGCATTCGGAGCATTATTGAAGATTTGTTTATCGGAGCTGAAGAATGGCTAAGTGATACTTTATGGCTAAGTTATATTCGATTTCTACCATGTTTTGCTTAGTGAAGTATGTAGAGACATTCGAAAGCCCTGAAGATCCCTCCGCCCCCGCCAAGCACCGAAGAGAAGCCGAGGGCCCCGAAAGCACAAACCCAAGAAGTCAGAACCCAAGGGTCTGGGGGGCTTCGAAAGAACTCCACTAGAATGAAGAATATTGTGGTATCCTCAGCAAGTCAAGCACGGCATCCAAGAAAGTGAAAACCTGCAAGACGACAACCGACCTGCTGCCAGGGCTTAGTGTAGTGGCAGCAGCATCAGCAGCTGTAGCAGCAGCAGAAGCAAGAGGAGCACGAGCAGTAATCGTAGTAGTCCTATGTAGTGCTAGTTGCTGCAGAAGCAAGAGGAGCACGACCAATAATCGTAGTAGTCCTATGTAGTGGTAGTAGTCGTCGCAGTAGTAGAGCTGTAGCAGTCGACCTGACGGAACTAGCCCCCCCCCACCCCCACCCCTAAGTCGCAAAACCGTGCGTGTGCCGACTTTTTCAAGCCCTGAATTCCTAAACCCTCGTAAAAACCGACGTGAAAGGCTACTAAAACACAGCGCTAAGCGCGCGTGAACAGGGCTACGGAAGGAACAACAACGTTAACCACCACCGCCACCACCACCACCATCCCCGCCACCACCGCCACCGCACGATCACCACGCCGACGACGACACAAACACCTTCCTGCAGCAACAGCAGCAACAACAGCAACAGCAGCAGCAGCCTCCTTGCATAGCCTGCTGGCGGGCCTTCGCTGATTGTTTTATTATCTTTCCATTTTGGGCGCAGTCGTCACAGATCTGGACTCGTCGAACAATACCCCAACATCTCTTTCTCTGTCATTCGCGTCCATGTGGCGAGAAGTCACGAAGACTTTTCGAAGGCCTTGGATAGCTCCGGAGGCTTCCGCCCATCCACCAGCAGCTCCATCAAGTAGCGGTCGAGATCCGGGATCCTCGGTTTTATCGAACTAGCACTCTCCTTTCACATGTTCCTGGTGCGAAGTGCGAAGTAGGGAGACTGCAGAGGGCAAAGTTCGGGAGCGATTTAAGGCCACTCGATCGAGACCCGACATGATTGCTGTTCAGTTAGAGCAGTTAGAGATGCTGTGGCACAGGGCCGGCTGGCACCCTGTGCCGTCAAAAACTGCCCAAAACTCATTGGCTTGCTGAGCGAGAATCCGCATCTGTTGGACCAGCAGCTCATAACTGGCCAGGCAAGGGCACAAAGGCAAGGGGTCCAGAATCTTTCAGGCCCTCCGAAAATCAGTCGATGCAGCCCACGCACGCGTGGCGGAAGCCGCGTCAGCCCTGAAACATGGAATGCTCCGCTCGCGCCTGAGACAGTGGTGAACAGTCCGCAAGGAGATCTCCCACAGCGCCTTGGCTTGATGGAAGAAGTCGAGGCTCGGAGCTTGAGAGGTCCTCTTTCAAAAGGGCAGACCGGCAGTCCCTCCACTCTGCAGAGAATCACTTCAGCCATGCACGGTCAGGGGCTGCCCACACCTGGACCTTCTCAATCGAAGCCACACCCACCACTGTTTCTGTGTAACTCGAATCACCCGCAGCTAAACCCTTTCCGAGGCCAAGAACGTCTGCATGCCGGCGGAGGAGAGGCTCTGAAGGACTCTCTTCGGCCATACTCTGCCTGGGAGCAACAGCGTGCTGGCGACTTTGAGACTGTGCCACTCTGTGCTGCTTGCCGGCTTGCTGTGGAGGTCAGGAGAGCAGTTTGTTCCCTGTCGCAAGCCCCAACCTCAAGAAGCATACCGGGGCACGCGTAGCCCGCTGCTCGCACCATGCGGGGAAGGATCCTGGGCAGAGAAGGGCGAGAGCAAAGGCCTTGGCATCAGGGGTCCTTCAAAAGCGCGCGGGCAGATAGAACGCCGGAGCCGGAGGACTTTCTGGCCAGGGATCTCTAGGTCAGACCACAGCTCCGGTGCACAGGCACCCGTCGTGCAGAAGTACATGGACTCAAAGGCCCGGATCTGGATGTCGGGGTTGTAGGCCTACGCAAGAAACCCGGAGCGACACATTCCAGTCAATCGGAAGCACAGCTATGAATCCAGTGCCGGTCCAGAACTAAACCCCATGTCCGACAGCACTGACGGGAAAGGCAGGCAGCCTCCATGTAGCTGGTCGCCAGCACAAGGATCTCGCGACTCAGGAACTTCCTCCTGTTCTGGCTCACGAGAGACCGGCACCGCTCCGCCCTGCACACCTCCTGCCCAGAAGAGTTGCAACCTCATGCACCCGAATTGCTGTTGGTCATGGCTAGCAGCTAGCATACAGCTCTCTGAATACTGCAGTCCTATGCCCATGCCCTTGCTCCACCCCACCAAGGCTGCTCAAAAGCCAGATCTAAGGTCATGAAGGCTCATGTAAGTGCAAATGCACATCTACGAGGGACATACAAGCATGCCCGAGCCCGAGAGCCAGATATGCGATCCGGTCCATGATAATACAGCCGTCCCGACGTGCCTGTGCTCACTGGGAGCTTGGGACATGCCATGCAGGATTTCAATAAGCGCCCGCTTCGAGACCATGGCGTCCTCACGTGCCGAGAACTGGAGGAGGGTAATACAAGTACCACATCCTGCGCAGAAGCTCCTGTACGACGTTGGATGGTCTCCATGACTTTTTGTAAGGGAGGGGTTGACAAGTCAGCCCAGCTCTGCTGGAGGTGCGAGGCTTCCTCTTTCCCAATCTCTGAAGGCAACAAGCCGTGAGTCCGAAGTCAGTGTTACGACCGTGGTCCTCCTCGGCAGAGATACGGCTGACGAACATGAGCATTCCACGATCTGGTTTGACCTGCGGACAGAAAAAGCCTGGCTAAGACCAGGCAACAGCATACCTGATGACATGTCCCATTTCTAGATTCCTAGTAGACGGCGCTGCTTTGAGCCCTCGAAATTCCTCGCTTCGGTGCCTCTTCTCGACTCATGCTCGTGTAGTACAGGTTCGCACAGCCTTGGCAAGCTCTGACTTCTAGCTGGCAGGGTCCGGTCGAAGGCTCGGCTGCAGCTGCGATACCGCCCGGACATATCTGACAAAACCCTGAGCAGCACTGAACCGCGAGGACCAAGGAACACATGATGTACTTGTGGAGCGATGCATCCGTCTTCTGACAGTTCTGGAAGTATTCGGCCATAGCATGAAAAATCCGACCTGGCCGGTTCTGGTTGAGCTTTCGGCGTAGGGCCTTGAGGGTGACGAAAGGGTTGTGGACTGGGATATTAATGGATTGCAGGCTTTGCTCGGCTTTGGCTCTCCCCGGCACCTGACACTGCTCTCTCCTGGCAGAGGCAAGTCAACGTCGAGAAGATCAGCCGACGAAGTGATGGCGATGTAGCATCTGCCGGCATGACCTTTCAAGCGGTGCTTTGCTATCACATTTTCTCTTGGAGTCGCTCCAAGGGCTCTGCCTCAAAGGCCCTGCGCTCTCAATCTTCAAAGGAGGTCGGATCATCGGCCCAACACGAAACTCGTAAAGCACGCCCTGAAGCCTGGCTGACCACAAGCCCACCAGCAAGGACCTGAAAGCGGCTTCCCTTCCCGGCCGACCTCCAAGAGGGTCATGAGAATGCGCGGCTCGCTGTGGAGCAGCTCCAAATTGCTTGCCTTTGCGAAGTTCACCGAAAAACTTCGCTCCCACTCTGGGCCCCAGAGGGCCCCAAGGTCCTGGCCTGCACGGCCAGGTTGTGCACGACCAGAACCGCCAGGTTGAAGCACTCCTCACAGAACCGCGAGTCGCGAGAGCCCTGCCGCCTGACTGGTCTAAGTCTAAATTCTGTTTTCCGAGGCTCCAGATATTGCGCAGAGTCGCCATAAGCCGAAACCTGTGCGCTCAGTGCCGGGGAGTTTGAAAGGATGATTTCAGCGAGGCGTTTCTGGGTCAATGCTAAATTGGGCAGTTGCGGGTTTGCGCAGCATTCTCACTTCGACCTCTGGCAGCATAGGACAGCACTGAGAGTTGTGAGTCGAAGTTGCGAAGGGCCTTGGAGACTTGCTCCACACGAATGTTCCCCACGATCTTCATGTTGCTCTCGTCAATCACCACCTTCCCGCGAGGCTTCTTTCCAATCGTTGCACCCTTGCTCTCTACTTTCGAGAGCCCTCACCTCGAGAGGCTCCGGCTTCCGGCGGAAGAGCAGCTTCAGCGGCCGGGCTTCAAACATCGGGGCGATGTCGCCTGACGACGGAAGTGGAGCGCAAGGGCAAGGGGCGCAACAAAAAATGGGCAGATGGCATGCTCTAGGCCGTGCCGGGAATCGGGCTCAAAAATGAGAAGACTTCCGGCCTTGCTCCAGTTCCGTCACATCCTTTCCATTCACCTGAAAGCAGAAGCAAGATCTCTTCCCCGTCCAAGCATGTGAAGCCTCGACTCTTCGCACATGGTTGCTGTTTGGTCCACTGTTGCTCTGCAACAGTGCGTGTCTGCACCCTCCTCAACACATCTGTCTGCGCCAAGCTCTCTTCAACTCTCTTCTGCCTCGACGAGTTGGTCTCCCGGGCGAAGCTCTTCACCAGCACGTGCTGCCGGGGTGTTGGGCAGGACCTACCAGGCGTCTGAAGCGAGTCCATCGACCGCGTCTTGCCACAGGCACGTACTGAATAAGACCTCCGACACAGACTGGATAGGCTCGGATCTTCCCCACACCATCTCTGTGCTCAAAGCTGTTGCTGCAAGCAGTGAAACCGCTAAGCCGGCCGGCCTCCGTCAGCTGCGGCGGAAGCTCCCAACGGATCCTGGCACACATGACTCCTCCGCCGAAACAAGTGTACTTTAAGTCACTGCTTGGCGGTGTTTGGGGGCACTGTCAACAGTAGGGCCTCAAGCCAAGCGGTGGTGCATCTTCGTGATCGAAGAACACCTGCTCAGCATGACGTGGCTTTTCACGGTTGGATGTGTCAGGCGAAACCCATTGCGATGGTTCTTCGCATCGGATATGGGAGTCACCTGGGAGACCTATGCCTTGTCAGATCGGTGGCTTAGATCTCCTGGCATTGCGACCGGGTGCGGTTACAGTGCAATCCATTTTGGGTCCCTGCACGTGGAGTCGAGTCTACACTGCAATCTGATGCAAGGGATCATGGAGCCACGTCACATCCGCAACATGAAGGCTTCAAAACAGCAGGTGGGGCTCACAGAATCCACAGAGAATATGTGAAACCGTGATATGTGGAAAGACAGCCTCATAGTAGTCGTACTTGTCTTCATCCTGGACAGGTCACTCTGAACTCTGACACTGACACTGCTTTTTTGATAACTGGCTGACTGAAGAAGTCATAACCTCGACCATCACCACTTTGGAAAACAAAGCTCCTTGTTCTCCTTGTCCAGCTGTACCTAGAGGCACACAAGAGCCAGGGAAGACGAACCCTAAGCCTCTGATTCTTCAGAAGGGCCCTCTGCAGGCTCAGCCTCCTCGAAGGTGGCATCTGCATTGAACCCAAGTGCGCTGGATCTACCAATGGCACTCAAGGTGATATACCTGTTCAGCCGAGCGGCTGTGTGGAAGAGCACTGCACAGTGACGAAGCACATCGCGGAGGAAAGCCTGAGCTTCAAGATCCTTGTCCGTGTCCTGTTCGGCTTGAGGGTTGCCAGGATTACTCTGGGGCTACGAATGCCTCGTCTCCTCGTGGCATGTCAGAAATGGGGCTCTAGAAGCTTGAAAGCTTGCGTCTTGCATAGCTTCTGGATGTGCATATGATCTGATACACTTGCTATCAACAGCAAAACACCGTAAGCCAGCAGCCATCGTGTCTGGCGTCATGACAGCCTCGTGCGTGTTCGGGCGGCAAGTCCTTGGACGATACGACAGGAAAACCCCCATGGCAAAGCTGTCAGCGCGAAGGTCTGAGGCCCCGTCAGGTTCGTGAGCATGCGCGTCAGCTCGATCATCAAAGCGAAGTGCTCCACGAACCAGCCCTTGCCCGGGATTGCCCTGGCCACGGGACATGCACTCATTGGGCCCTGGAGCCGAACGGAAACCCTGACCCTGCAAAAAAATCTGCAAGCTAAAGGCGCTGAAGCCGAAATCCTGACGGCCCGCTGGGGGTTCGGCTTGCAAGTTCGGAAGACCCCGGAGTTCACGATGAATTCCTCATCGCCGGGAGGTAAAGGGGTAAGGGTGGTAAAGCATTTCTGCACTTCAGGCTTGGAGGCTCAAGACGCCCAGGGACGAGGCGTGGAAATGGCCAAGCCCTGAAGCTCACATCACCTCCGAAGATCCCCCTGGGACGGCATCACACCTCTGCAAGCCTAGGATCAAGTAGATCGTCTTGCGCTGCGGCATTCGCCAAGACCTGAGTGAGAATCTCTGCAAGATGTGTTAGGACACGAGCCTGCGCTCAAAAAGAAAAGCAAGCACCCTGCGGCGACCATCCTGCCCGAGCAACACGGAGGTGCTTGGCTGCTGGCTCCCAAAACCTTCTGCCGAATCTCCAGAGTGGAGGTGGCAAGCATGGGAAAGAGGTAATCCTCGGCTTCTAAAAAGCGCAGGTGATGGAGCTCGAGATTCCCACCAGTCACCTGAAACCTTGGCTGGGGTGGAGGCCGATCTCGCCCGGATCATGCACTCGGGCTCTTCCTCGAAGGGCAGCTAACATGAGCTACTATGAGCTACTCATGTAGCAATGGACTTGGATGTTCCTCTTCCCCAATAGACCGGCGCTTGCTTTGCACCCGACATCATCATGGTCCCGCCTCGTCGAACTGCTTGATCCGGGCAGGATCCGCCAGGGAGTTGGCGATAAGCCTGACTCCACCAAGTGATGCGAGCAGCAATGCCGGTCGTACGTGCTAGACAAGCAACTCCCGTTCTGAGTTCTCACTTATGCCAAAAGGTCAGCAAGCTCAAATGCGTTCGCCGACTTTCCCTCTCTCTGACCCAAGTTCAAAGCCTTTCGGCCTGGGATATTAATAGACATTATCAGAATTCGAGCTTAGCCCCTCAAATCACTGGGCGCACTTGTGAAGCCTGTCAGAGATTTGGTAGAAGTAAGGCCTCCCGGCCCTTCAAGAACAAAAGCCGCATGCCGTGTCAGGAATTGCTGCCACGAAGCGCCATGAGACTTGGCTGCAGCCACTCGGGACCTCAAGCTGGCACTCAACGAGACAAGGCCTGCCTGACATTTTGTGAACCTGCGAAATGGATCGCTGATCCATGCATGCTCTCGGAAGCCCCAGCCACAGTACGTCCACCGAACACGCTCTGAACACTGCAAGTTTGTTCAAGCCATAGGTTGCCGAGTGGTGCAGCTCGAGGCACCGGGAAACACGACAGGAAAGATGAAGCACGGTGCATGCATCACAGTAGCAAGGCCAAGTATGACCCCAGGCCCCAGCTGAAGATAAACAAACCGAGGGATGCCCTCGCAGTTGGTTGCCAAACACAGAGTTGCACCTGTAAGCAGGATCTCGAAATTCAGAGGCCTTCCCGATGCTCAGGACCAGACAGCCCTGTGAGATCCTGTACGCAGTCAGCGGCGCCCGGATCTGGGACACAATTTGTGGTGGTGAGTGTTTTGGCAGGAAGCGGAACTTGCACCGAATGCGCATTTCAGCTCGGGTGGTAAGCTATACCTGCCCCTCAATCCTGAAGAGGGATTTACCCCTCCATTAAGGCGCTCACGCTCAGCGGGCTGAGAAAGGTGAGGCCTCGGCTCGGACTGGGACCAGGCACGGTTCTTCTCATGTACGCACGGGGCAACTCTCCAACTTCCGCCTATTCCGACAGAACGCACACCGCTGGGGGACCTCTGGGCCGCCTGCCGGTGAGACACTCCACAATCACCGACATCAGGGAAGGGGCCTGCGAGCCGCCACAGGTCACGACCCCCTAACAACCCGCAGCCTCAAACGAGCAGCATCCACATTACGGCTCGTACTCACTAAGGGGCACAGAAAAAGGGTTCACACGGCCTCATTCCATTAAAACAATCGCGAGAGAGGCGGGGGTAGAGTGAGAGAGAGAGAGAGAGAGCGGCGTGGTACGTCTGTTGATCGCTGTGGCGCAGGAGCAGCAAAACTTCTGCCGGACCCTGGCAAGTCGCACCTGCCCGGCGGCCATGCACTGCTTGATCACCTCTTGGCGCCACGGCTCAACGACAAGGATAGCGAGAAGCCCCGAAAGGACTCTGCCTCAAGCATTCCCGTGGTCTTGCTGTGGAGGATGCCCAAGCTCCTCAAAGGAGCAGCCGGCACTCGCAAATGAGGGGCGGCGGGTTGTCCCATATTCCGCCAGACCACTTTCGGGCTCGGTGGTAGGCGTGGGTGTGCTATACGTAATCTGGTTGCTGTGCTGGCTAATATCTCCTGCGTAAGAGGATAACAGTATAACATGTTGGATGCGCCATGACGTGCAGAAATGCCTGGGCGTGCACGACGCATGCTTAGCACAGCTTGAAGAGATTCGGGCATCCGCCGTGAGTGCCTTCAGTGCCTAGATGTACAGACAATACAGAGCTAGCCAAGCATGCATCAATGTCACGGAGTAGGGCCGGTGCCGGAAGTCGTGGCGCAATGGCTGCAGGACCTTCAGTGAGCACACGCACACCCCGGGGCGGGAGCTGATGCCTCTTCCAACATGTCACTTCTCTTGCCCACCAAGGCACCAAGGCATCTTTGGCTTTCCTGTCGTCGCCGAGGAGGTTCACGTAGGAGGTCTGGGAAAGGCTTCTTCAACGGGCAGATGTTCCAAGGTGGGGCCTGCGTTGGATCACTCTTCAAGCCAAGACTTCACAAAGGAAGCTTGGGAATGGACTGCAAACTCCAACCCAGGTGAGATCCGAACTCCGGGACTTTCGGGAGTGGCGGAACCGTTGGAGGAGCTTGGGCTCAGACGTCCATCGCTTCCAGCTTAACCTGCGACCATCCGGGTGTGAGTCGCAATATCTAACAACAGCAGCACCGGCGTGCCAGATGAACCCATGACAGATCAAGATAGTCAAAGCACTCTACCCTGGAAGCGATTGGAAGCGGTTCTTTAATGACTGACCGCCAGATTAGAAACCCCAGCAGCGACTCCGCGAAGACTCGCGATGCGAAGACTCGCGATACGAAGACATGCCCCCGGGCCAGCACAGGCCCCTCCTCACCTCGCCACCGCGCCCGGGATCCTCGAGCTCCACTTTGGCAGTGAAGTTGTTCGCCGCGATCAGGACCTCGGCGACTGCGAGACACAAAGCGTGCGCTTCCGCCATGCTTCCCTATCCCAAGTTCATCTGGGCTGCCCGAAGCATGGAGATGAACTCCTGGCAAGCTTCAGGGATCTGCTGTACGCCTAAGCCTACCCGGCCTGTTGAGAAAGTCAGGCAAGACCTCTCTCCATGTATACCTTTCGCAACTCTCAAGCCCTCTCTCCCCAACAGCAAACTCGAACACTGCTCGTGCATGCTCGGAATTCGCTTGAAAGCCCAGCTAGTCGTTGTTGCGAGCTCTTTTCAGCTTTAATCGGCGGTCTTGTCCTCTGTCGGCGTCATCTCGGCAAGCCTCCTCTCCATGCCCGAGGTGTCCAGGTCCTTCAAGGGGGGCCGAGAATCAAGCGGTAAAGCGCTTGCAGCACGAGATGCCCCTTGTGTCAAACTCAATCTCTAGCGCGAAACTTCGACGGCGTTCCCTGCATCTTTCAAGCCGAGCACGAACCGGCAACCCATGAACAAAAAAAGTTCCTAGCCCTGCAGTCGTGCCATGAGCCCTTGAGCACATTCCGCAGTGAAAGCGGAGGCACTCGCAAGCAATTGGACGTCAGCTTGTTCAGCGTAATTCGATTGGAGATCACGAGGCCGCCGTCATCCTGCCAGATCCGGATCGTGACAGCGGGGAGACTGAAAACTCTGCTAGATTCTGCCAGGGTCTAGGACGCAGGAGGCAGAAGAATGATGACTCCAGCCGAAGCAGCCGAAGCCGCAGCACTTTCCTCTCGGCCCTCGCGGCCCCCTTTCTCCTTCATATCTGGATTCACCGGGATCTCCCCGTCGTCGCCACGGTACTTCTCCTTGACGCGCCTGGGCTGTCGGAATGGGTAAGCTGCACCGAAGGCCGATGCTTGCAGCACCCCGTGTTGGACCCTGAGTCCTAGCGAAATCAAGCTGAATACAAGAGGCTCGGCAAAGTTTGTCAGAGCCGACATGGCCAGCATGAAGCCTCGGAGAAGCATCTTGTTGACATGGCCATGTGCGTAAGCATATCATGCACGTGTACGGAGTTCGCCGGACAACAGCATAAGCAACCTCAACATCCAGCTAGGTCTTGCAGGCAAACCTACGAGATGGAGGTGCAGTGCTTGTCTGTGATGACATCTTTGTTCTCATAAGTCTCTAACTCAAGGAAGTGCAAGCCATGAGAGAGGCTCGTTGCCAGCCTAACTGACGCGGCAGAGTCCAGGGGCCAGGCGAGCAACACAAAAAAGAAGGTAGCCAAACCATTCGCATGTTCAAGGCTCAAGGTTGTGGGCAGGAGGGTTTCCAGTGATCATAGCCTGCCGGCCCCTGCGGTACAACACAGCCGTGATTGCGCCTGCGTGGTGCAGTTCACTTCGAAAGCCGCGGAACGGTTCCGCGAGACGGCGACGCTGCTCCACGGCCCGGTCACTGTCGCGAGCCTCGGGCTTCGCGGCTTCTGGCACTCTGGCAAGAATCAAATCACGTGCCCTTCTGCAAACACGAGCTTTGCGTCACCCAGCAGACCCCAAAATCTGGACATGCGTGTGGCTCCTCGAAGCCCCGCCCCTAAACGAAAGCCAGCAACTTGTCCTTGACTGGAACCTGCTCCTGCGCGGATCTGTGGTTCTGGCTTCGGCTTCCTAGTTCAGGCGATAGGATTCCAATCAACCGTCTGTACGGTGCTGCCAATCGAAACAGATGATCTTGTGACACCGCCGAAATCCCAACTCGCAAACTCGCCCCGAAAGCCGAAAACTCTTTTGTGAACCCAACAGGAAAAGACGAAGGAGTAAACCGAACCCCAAACCTTGCATCAGAAGCTGAAAACCCTGGTGAGCTCAGGAGTGAAAGCAGCCAAAGACCCTAAGGAGTGGACTCACTTCGAAAAGCCGAAAGAATGAGCTCAACGACGCACCCGGCAACCCGCAACCGGAATCCGAGCACTGCTCAGAGCTCAGAAGAGAACCGAGGGATGCAAGGGGCAGAAATCAGAGAGCAGAGGGCCCAAGTCAGGGGCTCTCTCCAAGCGCCTCGGGCTGGCTCGCGCTGGGTCCGGCTCGCCTGATCGTCGTGAGCAGCTCCTCGGCTGTCTTCGGGGAGAGCTGCGGTGAGAGAGGCTCAGCTTCTTGGGACCCCGAAGCCTTATCAGATCACTCCAGCCGAGAGGCATTGATAACGCCAGACTCGTTGAGGAAATTATAGAGCAGGCTCCTCATATCTGCAGGCTTCGGAAATGTGCCGCTTGCCTGGGCGAACCCACATTCCCGCCCAAAGGTCGGAGCAGCTCCTGTCCCGGGAGAAATTCGCGACCAGCAGGAAACCATACACCTGACATCGGGGATCCAGGGCACAGTCTTTGCCGGCCGGGAATCGTGAGTTTTGCCGCAGTGTTGCCACCACAACTGGTTATAATTACTGAAAGGCCTGCACGTAGGTGTCCTCGCATCCAGACAAGGCGAAGAGGCACCTCTGCTGAATACAAGGCCATTGAGACTTCTGCTTCTGCTGCCTGGGGCAGGACCTCGACAAGAGTCTTACAGCAGCAGCAATCTAAGCAACCTGGTGTGCACACATCTTTTCGGCTTGCGAAAGCTAAGGCTCAAACGGCCGGTCTTGAGAGGAACAGTCCGCACATGTGCTTTCACAGCAAGTCACAACACAGCACAGCTAAGTACGAATTTTCACACTGGTCCTATTTTCTTTTGGGACTTGCTGGGTGAGAGTAAGCACTGGATCCTGAAGGAAAGAGCTCAGCACCTCCGTCAGCTTCCAATCCAGCTTTGTCAGGCCGTCAGCAACCATATGTTGCGTTGGCACCCACCTAAAGTCCTTAGGCTTCACGCTCTGCTGGATGCTGCGGATGTTGATCAGGCTCCTCTTGTCGCTGACGCTCGGATTCTCAGCGACAACGGTGTCGTAGAGGCTCTTGGCGTCACTCACCTGGATGTTGTTGAACTTCGCAGGGCCTTTCAGGGCGGATTCGCCTGTGAAGATCTCGCTCAGGCACATGTTGGCGAAAATCGCACGATCTGCGCCTTCGTCTGCAGCACTGGCTTCGGCAGCAAGGGTGGATCGGCAGATCCTGGTGCTCCTGGCGCTGCGCCAGTCCACAAGTGTCCCCTTGGTGGGAGTCCTCACCACGCTTGGCGTGCTGATGAAAACACACACACCAAACTGGCTCTTCAGCTCGGCGTTGGCGAAGCTTGAGTCCGTATAGGTCACGAAGACGGAGTCCTCGTTGATGGGGATGTCCTGGTACACTAGGCCGCGGTCGCAGGTCTCCTTGAGGTACTTGACCGCTTCGAACAAGCGCTGGAGGTCTTTGAAGGTTGTGTCCTTGCCACGGTTTGACAAAGACACAAGCGGTCCGATCTCTGGCCTGCACTGGCCAGCCAGCCATTGCAAACTTCCTGCAATGCTCCTGAAGTCAGACCACTCCTGTGTAGTGAGGGCCTCGGCTTGTTGAGCTCGTCCGCGAGGCAAACTTCCGCCTTCCATTCCTTGGATGAACTCGCGCTGGGTGACGACGTACTTGTACCGGTCGCCGAACTTCTTGAGGAAGATCTCCTTGCCGCGGTAGGTGGCGCTGGTCTCCGTGGTGACCTTCGTGATACTTCCCCAGGTGAACAGCTTCTCCAGGATGATGATCGGGAAGCTGCTGTTGTACGTGGCCAGGAAGTCGTCCACGTGGATTATGACCACAGCTTGGAGCTCGCCGTCCTTGGGGTTCAGGTAGTAGTACAGGCAGCGGTCGTAAGTATGACGCAAAAATCCTTTGCTTGTCATAGACCGATGCACCTTCTGGTACCAGACCCGCGGGGCGTTTGGGAGCCCATAGCAGTTGCCTGTGATCTGGTACAGGGCGGCTGGGAAACTGCAAGTTTCCTCAATCAGTGGATCACGTGGTGGTCGCATGTAGAGAGGTCCACTGCGTTCTGAGTTGTCCTGCTCGCCTTGTAGAAAGGCGCTCTTGGCATCTGACACCCAGAGGTACCACTGCTTGTTATTGTTGCCGAGGGAGCGGTTTGCTCCTGCACTGGCGATCGTCATCAGAAGAGTTTCTGATAGCCTCGTTGGTGTTGGGCTGTCCCTGCTGATGTCGAACAGGTCAGGGTCTTGGCAACCTATGATCACCACTCGGCACTTCGGTCGGAGGGGTCCAATGCCCTTCGACTTATCCCTGTATGCTGCGCGAGCTCGAAGGATTCTTCTAGCCAGGTGAGGCGTGTCACAGATCTTCTTCGCCTCTCGGTGGGAGATAGGTTTGATCCCTCCCCACATCATCCAGTTGTCGTTCTCTGTCCGCGTGGCCTGGAGGTACTCCTCGTACTGGGAACGCGGGAGCTCGGTGAGTTGCCGCCATGGTATTTCTCGGTCCAGCTGCTTGGCTTCTTGGCGGCTGCGAGTGCGGTCGTTGGAGGAGTTGAGGTTGTCGTCGTCGGTGGTGTCGTCCTCTCTGCTGGGGTCTTCAACGACGCCAGCCTTTTGAAGTTCCTCCTTGCGGGTGTTGCCGGTCAGGTAGCACTCGTAGTAGAAGTTGCGCCTAAAAGGTAGGCGACTGTCTTTGGTGTCGCTGCTTTCCCGCAGAGTCATCTCGCCGTTGTCGTGGATGTCAAAGTTGAGCGGGAAACTGCTCACAAGTACTGCGGCTGTCCTCTTTTGTGGCAAAAGGTTTCCTCCTGCGTCCAAGGCTTCAGACGCTTCACTCTGTACAGGTGGAGGAGGAGGTTCTTGAAGAACTTGTGGTAGAGAATGTCCTTGGGCACTCTCTCGAGGCGTGTCGACCTGAGTCGAGTCGTGGTGCTCGTTGTGCTCGGTGGTCTCGTTGGGCTCGAAGCTCGTGAGACCTTGGTCCGGTAGGTGTCTTCCGTCACGGTCTGCACTTCCCGGTCGTGGTTGCTGAGGAGGTAGTGCGGTCCAGTCTGGAGTTCCCGGTGCGGGGCTCACTGGTGTCTCTGGTGCAACGCTGTACTGGGCACTCTCGTACTGGGCGCTCTCGTTCACGGCTTCAGCTTCTCTCGTCGAAGAAGACCTCCTCGGATTTGGCGTCCTAGACCTTCCACGTCTGCTCCTTGGTGTCGGTGGCACAGGGGAACCAGGAGGTATGCTGAACACGATGGACCTGTTGTCCTGCTGGCTGACTATGTTCTGAACCAAAGGCCCCACGTGAGTCTGTTGTTGTTGTTGTTGAACGTAAGTCCGTGGTTGTTGCTGACGTTCTCGACCTCTGTCCTGGTCTGGCCCCTGAGAAGGAGTCTGTTGTTGTTGTTGTTGAAGGTGAGTCCGTTGTTGTTGCTGAGGTAAAGGTTCCGTAGGCGCTTCGGGTAGAGGTAGTGGTAGAGCACGTGCTTTGTACGGTCTTTCTCCTGGAGGTAGCTTCCAAAAGAACGTGGTTGTTCCGGTCCACTGAGGTTCAAAGCTTTGGTCGCAAAGTGGGTCCCGCCAGTTGTCGTCGGCGGGCTGCTCGTCGGCCTCGTTGCGGTAGGTCTGTCTCTTGTCCGCCAGGTCGTTCATGTCGAAGTTGCACTCGTAGGCTTGTGGTACGTAAAGTTCGGACCTGGGATTGGTGTGCACTCGTGTGACGCCGGTGTCGGTGAACCTCCAGTAGTCGTTGGCCTGTCGAAGCTCGGGTGGTAGTAGAGTCGGTTCGGCAAGTGAACCAGGTTCTCCAGTCGGCTCCTCTAGGACTCCCGGGGGCTCCTCTGTACGGTCTTCCCAGAGAGCGTCTCGTAGACAATGCTCGGCGTCTTTCAAAATCTTGAGGTCCTCGGTGCTCGGAGTCCATTCTTCCCAGCCGCAAGCTTGCCGTACTTGGTTGTTGGCCACCTTCACGGTGGTGGTGCCCACTTGCAACCACATGCTCTTTCGATCCGGGTCCAGGGAAAGGAAGCGGCCCAGATTCCAGGCTCCTCTTTTGTGTTGTCTTGATCTCCCGGTCCATCTCCAGTAGGCTAGTGGTTGGCCCGGCTGAAAGTCACCGGGATCCTGATGCCTTGTTTTGCGCAGCAAGGCGCGCTTCACGGCGCTGGAGGCACTGAACTCAGCAAGTGCTTTGAGCGCCTCGGCGCGGAGGAGCTCGGGCATCAGTCGTTTGTCGCCTTCACTCGGCGACAACACCAGAGACCGGGGATCTGAGGACAAGTCTCCGATTGGCCTTGGCACCCTGCCGAAGACGGCTTGGTAGGGGGACCTGCCGTACGAGTAGGTGCTGGCATTCATGCTAAACGTCACCGCGGGGAGTACCTTGTTCAGCTCCTCGATGTTGTGGATCCCGCGCTCGTCGATGATGCGTTCGGCCAATGTCCTCATGAGGCTGTTTCGCCTCTCGATCTTGCCAAGGCGATGATGGGCCTCAGCAGGGATCACCTCGTGCAGGACGCCGCTTCTGCCGTGCCAGGCAGCAAGGTCTGAAGCGAACTCACCACCAGCATCGCACTTAAAGTGCAGTGGCAAGCCCAGCGGACGGTACCAGATCTCCAAGATAGTCTGGAGGACCTCGGCTGGGTTGCGGGAGCTTAAGGCCTTGCTCGCGTGGTAGTTCGTCGCCTCGCAGGTGATGCCTAGCACTGGCACAGCGAGGCCCGTGATGGTGCGGATGTAGACCAGGTCCGCCTGCAGCACCTCTCCAAAGTAGCCGGTGAAGGCGGGCGCCACCGAAGACACAGGTGGTGGCTTCGGCTTTTGCATCCTGATGCAGCTGCCGCACCTTAAGCAATCCAGCCCTAGCAGAACCTTCCGAGAAAGATTCCCAGAGGCGGCCATCATCCGTATCAGCTCGGCTCGTGGTGCGTGGCCCATGTTGACGTGAAGTCGGGCCAGGCTGTACTGGAGCTTCTTGTCAACCTCGCGAGGGGGGTCCTCGAACCATAGCTCAGTCTCAAAACCATGCAGAGGACGTATGCTTGTAGTTGCCTGGTGCTCCTCTTCAGGCTCGGCTGGCTCCGGTTCCTGTTTCTCCTTGGGGAAGCCAAAGAAGAACAGGCCCACACGCACCGGTCGAGCGTATCTCTGCTTGGGGTACGTGATTTGCGCCATGTCCTCGGACTCGAGGACTAGCTCGCCGGAGTTGAGTCGAAGAGCGGCGCCGCGGTGAGTGAAGGGTATGTCCTGAGGAAATCTCCGGCTCTGCGGTGTCCAGGCGGCCTGCACTTTATCGATCCGCCATGGGATCAACTTGTTGAGCATCTCCCGAAGCGGGTCGTTGGTGTTGAGGTTGAAGGGCTTCTTGTGGGTGTTCAGGAACCTGCTCTCAACCTCGTCAAGGACCTCCTTCCACGCCACAGGGTCGTTGAGAGGCCTTGCGTACAGCACGTCGTGGGGCTTAAGCTGAAACCTTGAAGGAAACTTCCGCCGGGCCTCGTTTTGCACGGCTTCCAGGATCTGGTGTACTTGGCCGAGGCACGGGTAGCCGCGTCGAGGGTCACGTAGTAGAGCTTGGGGTGGCAAGTAGTGGCGTTGCTCGGAGGTCAGTTTTAGCTTCAGTCGGTTGGCCAGGTCGAGGTGGTTCGTCACCCAGCGGCTTCGGAAAGCTACTGGGAATCCCTCTTCGTCTTCCAGCCCATAGGCACCGGCATCGCACTCCGTCACGGATACATCCTTGTGCTTGAGCAGCTCCTTCGTCCTTGGCCTTGTCCACAGCGTCCCGTCGGGCTCGAACTCGCCGACAAAGTAGCGTCCTTGCCGGTTTTGTTCTGAACAAACCCAGGTGCCGAGGTCGTGGAGCATGTCGAGGCCTTGCGTGGTGCCCGTGGAGGCGTTCACTCGCGGCCACCAGCACATCACGAAGGTGGGCTGGAACTTGGTGACTATGTCGCGAAAGTGCCCGGCCTGCTCGTCGATGGTCAAGTCGTGGCCATACACCTTGTCGAACGGCTGGAGGGCGGTGAGTCCATAGTTCGCCGCCTCGATGGTGATCGCCGCCTTGCCGCCGAAAACCTCGAGGATGTCGATCTTCGGGAGGTGGTAGATGTCCTTGTAGAAGGGCATGTCCCGGTGCATCGCGATCTCCCGGCTGTAGTCGTTGTGGGCCTTGCGCAGCTCGCTCACTAGCCACGTCTGGTGTCCTGACCTCATGGATCTTCCACCAGGTCCCACGCGTACATGCCATCGTACTCCACTAGTGCTCGGGCCTCTTCCTCTGCGGTCTCGGTGTGCTCGGCTGGCTGGGCCCTGCGCGCTCTCGGCGCGCTCGCTTGCGCCCGTGCTTGGACGCCGCTCTGGTACTGATCCTCCATCCTTTGGAGGCAACCACTCTCGATCACCATGGGCCGGTCCACAGGAGGCGCTCCCTCTGCGAGGTTGAGGATCTCCAGCTCCTCCTCGGTGAAGTCCAGCTCCCCTCGATGCCGCGGTGAAGGCTTCGCTTTGGGCTTCAAACCAGTCACCGATCGGGTCCCCGAGCAGGTTGCCGTGTCCGCTTGGACCTCCAGTCCTGGCAGCAAACGACTCGCCCAGAGAGTCCGGGCCCCATAGTTGGCCGAGGGTGGTGACGGCCGCGGCAATGGCGAAGATGGCAGCTCTTCCCATGCGAATGCCACCCATTTCCATCGTGTGTTGCACTGGCAGCATTTTTGAAAGCTGCCGTGGCGATTGCCGCTCTTGGCCAGCATGTGCGGAGGATGCTCGCAGGGGGCCTGCAGCGCCCTGATCAGGTTGTCGGTCCAGCGCTGGTGCATCGGGTCCTGGTGCGACAGCCAAGACCGCTTTCGGAGGCCGAGGCGCACGGTCTGGCTCATGAAGCGAAGGAGGTGCAACTCGGCCGCCCTGATGTACTTGACCACTCGCCGCCAGCCCTGAAGCCATGCTGGTGGAACCTGCTGCGCGTGCATGTGCCGACGTCGCTGGCGAAGGGAAGGGAGTCACGAGCTCTGCGTCGGGATCACCTTGATCCAGAATGCTGCTCAGCGCTTTCCACTGTGCAAAGTGCCCTTTGGGGAACCTGTTCAACTCTATGCACACATGGCCATTGATCTTGACGATGGGGACCTCTACGTTGAAGGCACCAAGGTGTGCAACATGCCTAGGGAGATCAAGAATGGCCCTGAGCTTCTTCGATAGCATCTCCAAGCTCAACAACAAAGGGATATCGCTAGGAGACTCCATCACTGATGCCCCAAACAACGCACAAGTCGAAGAGCTGCCGTCTAGACACACAGGGAAGTGTACGTGCTTCTTGCTCACCTGAATGGGTCCTGTACCGAACTGGAAGCCTTCGGATTCCGGAGTGGCCTTCACATCGAGCTTGTGCTCGGCTAGTAGTTCACGGTGCTTTGCTAACCACTGCTCGCTACATAGGCTTCGTTGACAGGCTGTGTCGAGAACGGCATATCCTGCAAAATCCCTGGGCTTGCTAAGAAAGACATCCTGGCTTGGTCCAATGAATGTTGTCATGAAGGTTGTAAAGTACGAACCGAACTCTTGAAGATCTTCTGCGCTCGGGGAATCGGGCTCAGCACTAGGTCCTGCATCGACACTGCCATGGTGGGAGACATTGAGCACTTTCTTCGGCCCGGCGCCTTGTTTGCCGTGGTCACCCTTGGCGCTGTTGCCGTGGGAACCTTTGGCACCTTTGGTGCCCTTGGCTGAAACCGGGCATTCGGGATCTCCTTGCCAATGGCCTTTCTGCCCGCATGCCATGCAGTTCGTGTTGCGCTTCTGCTGGGCCAGGTCCTTGTTCTTCGGGTTGTTCGTGAATTTTCGGCCGAGGGTCACGCCTTGGAGGCGCCGCGCTGTCACTGTGAGGCACTCTGCCACTTCTTGCATGACAGACTGGATATCATCGCCGTCTTCGGGTTCCTCCCCGTTGTCGGGAACGAGCTCCTCTTCGTCCTGCTCGAGGTTCTGGTCGTTGTCTGCCTCGGGGATGTCCTCGAGGCCGTCGTCCTGGACCTCGTCCACGTGGTCGGGGCTTGCCTCCTCGGTTATATACGCCCGGTACGGTGGGCGTGGTCCTTTGCCGCCTTTGGGGCCGCGGTTGCCCTTGCCGTGGTCCTTGCCGTGCTTGCCGCCCTTGGGAGCTTCGCGCTGGTGTTCTTGAGAGCGGTGCGTGTTGTCAAACTCCCGGTTGTAGGCCACGGCCGGTGTTGGTCGGTGCTCGGGGTACTGAAGCTGGGCTGCGTCTCGGATGGAATCGAACTGCAAGCTTTGGCCCGTCGACACTAGGATCAGCCTCTGCTGCTCCGTCGTGAGCCTCATCCTGTCCAGCAGCCGGGAACCGCGGGACTCGCTGTCGTACATCGCCGTCACGTTAATCCCTGTGGCAAGGAGGGACTTCTCGGCTCTCTGGTACCTGTTGCAGAACGACCTTATAGATTCACTGGCGTGTCGGCCAATGTACTCGTACTCGTGGAGGTAGCGCCGCTTCAAGTAGACCTCGCGGGTCTGCAGCGGCCTTCGGAGCGCCGACAGGATGTTCTCGACGCCGCGCTCGTTGTCGATCTCGTCGAAGGCCATGAACTCCAGTTCCTCTTCGGCTTCCCCTCTGAGGCTCACATAGAGGGCCATTGCTGCTTCCCGCTTTGGCATAAAAGACTGCACTTGCCTTTCCCACATACGAACCTTCCGCTCGTACCTGTCATAGGCCCTGACGTCCTCCCGGGCGTAGTTCCACTGTGGCGGTGAAGGTGGAGTTCCGCCCCGGTATTTCACGCCAGGCTTTGGTCCTTTGGAGGTGGACCAAGGGCCCTCGCTGTCGTCTCTCCTGCGGCCGAGTGCGTCGCCCATGTCCTTCAGAAGCTTGCCGCGCCAAGTGCTAGCAGGTTCTTGAAGCGGCGGGTCGTGTAATCGGGGAACGCCTGGGCCTCGATCTTCCGGAGGTCGGTGTCCTTCGGGGGAATCGCGTTGTAGAGCACGATCGCGGCCAGGGCCAGCTGCAGCTCGGCTAGCGGCCGCTGCGGCACGTCGCTGTCGTCTTGAAGGTCGTCGTAGTGGCTCCAAAGTCACAGGGTCCACTGTCACATCTGTCGTCGCCGTCTCCGACTCAGCTTGCTCACGGCCGGCTGCTTCCAACCACTCTGGTGCTGGTGCTCCGGCGCGCGGGGGTCTCATTGGCCTCCAAGGTGAAGTCGGGGACGCGCCTTCCAAAGTAGACGGCCTCCGCGATGTTATCGAGGAGCTTTCGTCATCATTGGGCTCGAGGTCTCCGCGAGGAATGTACAGCCACGTTCCTCCTGGTGTTGCTCGCCTGGTTGGTGCTGTCCGGTTGTAGAAGTCTCTGCTCCCACACAGTGCACACCGCCATCCCCCGGCATCCCAAGAGAAGGCTTCGCTATCACAGGTAAAGCAAATCCACCAGGGTTCGGGCGTATCCGGTCGCGGTAGCGTAGTTTCCAAGGGTCCTTCAGATCTCTCGCCGCTCCCGCCGGACGTCTCGGCAGGGGCTTCGAGACCAGGCGGTCTCCTTGGCATCCCGGGCTCTCCAGGGATCACTCTCGGGCTCTCTCCGAGGAACTCATCTAAAGAGCCATCCGGAACCATGTCTCGCGGGAGCGGTCGGCTCCGCTGCCAACTTACAGCAGCAGCAATCTAAGCAACCTGGTGTGCACACATCTTTTCGGCTTGCGAAAGCTAAGGCTCAAACGGCCGGTCTTGAGAGGAACAGTCCGCACATGTGCTTTCACAGCAAGTCACAACACAGCACAGCTAAGTACGAATTTTCACAAAGAGAACCTCTACTGTGCCAAGCCGCGTGGGAACCACGTTGCTCGGGGTGATGGCTTGCTGCACCCTGCCAGGTGGAAGCTGGTGCACTGGTGTAGGGCTAGCCCTGGGGCTTGCAAACCGAGTCTGCCAGGAACGCAGGCATTTTTACCAGGATCAGGCTACTGGTTTTCAGGTGGTCAGCTGGGCAACCGCAGCACTATCAGTATCTCCATGAGCCCCAAGCAAATACCCTGCCCGAGAAGGACGATGCAGTGCAAAGCCAGTCCGCCTAGGGCCCATCTCATGGTGAGCAAGGAGTAGACACATCGTGCGGATCACATTCCTTGCGACTCTGAAGGGGGCTTCAGAATCGTCGGTGGGAGGGGCGTGTCCAAAGTGGCTGGAGATTCGACGAACTGCGGCCTGCCCTGATCTTCCAAATCTATCCGACTCCCACCCGAAAGTCCCGAATTAGGATATGTGGGGGAAGAGCCCTTTTCATTCAGCAGTCAGCGACGAATGCCCGGTTCCCAGACAAGTATCCGATAAATGAAGTTCGCGGGCTTGATGGGACAGTTCCTGATGGACAGAAGCGCGAAACTGGAACGGCTGCAAGATGGTGACATCACCCCTTCCGAACAAAAAACAAAGACACAAAAACTCTGCCACTGCAAAGACTCAGAGTGCACAGTGTGCATTCCTCCCAAGGCTCCCAATAAAGCTAAGCGGGTCCATCTGATCCACGTGCAGCTCCTGCAGGGTGGCGCTGGGTCCATCTCCACAGTCCCGCACTGAAGCTCTGGGCATCCAGAGCTGCCCCACGTGGGCATGAAGGCAAGGCTGTTTCCGAATGGAATCTGGAGCCACAAACTGCTGACTATAACAGCTTCCGGCGACTCAGCTCACAACCCAGAAGCTCCTCCGGCGTGATGTTGGGGTAGATGACACGCTGCAACGTGCGCAGTCCGACAGTTCCCGAGTGGAAGGCCTCGTTGATATCCTCCTGGGCGTGGGCTTAGGCTTTAGAGGGCCGTTTGGGGTTTCAGCCGTGGGGTGCCTTGTATGCAACCGAGCGGCCTGCGGCAGTCGCAGCAGCGACAGGAGGAGCTGCATGCGAGTGGCCGGGAAGATCCTGAAAGCTCGGCAAGATTTGGCAAGTATAAGCATCGCCTAGAAGCATTGCTACAGCCGGCAGAAGTAGCAACGACTTTGCTGCAGCTCCTCTGCATCCGTGTTTGTCTATCTATCTATCCATCTAACTACGTATCCATCTATCCATGTCTCTGCCGATCTACCTCTGCAACCGTCTATCTATCTATCTATCTATCTGTCTGTCTGTCTGTCTGTCTGTCTGTCTGTCTGTCTGTCTGTCTGGCTATCTATCCTATATATATATATATATATGTAGATATATGTATATGTGTAGATATATGGTTGTGCGATGTGCTTTCTGCACCCCCCCCCCTCCCCCATCCCAATGGTATACCTCCCGAATACATGGGCTTGGAGCCTTCGGCGCGTGCGGAGGGCCCTGTCCCACGGGGAGAGAGGGCTAGGAGAAGGGTGACGACACTCCGAAGCTCGAAGACCCCAGCCGTTCCACAGGGGGTGATCACACGCACACCCATTGGAAGAAGGCCTGAACCAAACCACCCAACCATTCCACACACAAGCTCAAGGCCCAAGCCGTTCCACAGCGGGGGGAGGGGATGAACACATGAGGGGATACCATTGGCGGGGGGGGGGGGCCGGCGGGGCGCAACCATATACATACATAGCTCTCTCTCTCTCTCTATATATATATATATATACATATATATATACACACATACAGCCTTCGGGCTGAGCTTTTTAGGATGTTCGGCGGGCTTCGGGTCTGGCGGGTTCTGGCTTAGGGGCTTTAGGGGCTGAGGTTTATTTGTGTACTGCACAAGGTCCAGCCTTGCTGTACCTGACCCTTTTCAGCACGGACTGAGGTGCCGGCCTGTACCTGACCCTAAACTCCTAAACCCAAAACCCTCTGAAGGGTCGAGTCATGGGCTTGTGTGCTTCGATTGGTTTCTACGGGGTGCTTCAGGCTCCAGCTTTAGGGTTTGTCTGTGTCTCTGTGTGTGGGTGAGCGGGTGAGTGGGTGGGTGGGTGGGCGGGTGGGCGTGGGGCTCCGAGCTAATGTTTGGGGCGTGGGGTTTACTGAGCAATGCCGGTCAAGAACAGTGTTGTTGCAAGTACTTGCGCTCGCAGTGGCATAACCCAGTCCCGCAAAGAGCTATACTCTAAGCCCCTTAAATTCGAACAGGGAAGCCCTAATCCCTAAACCTCTCAAACTCAACCCCCCTTGAACATATGATGACATTAGGCATACTTTCGGCGCATCCCAATCTTCGCTGTGCATTCAGGAGGCTTCTGCTCCTCCTCACGCAAGCGAATGGCCTGGTCAAGGCTCAGAAACTTCGGACTTGGGGTTCAGGGTTTACGGGTCTGTGTTGAGTTTAGGGTTTAAAGGTTTAGGGTTTAGGGGTTTAGGGGTTTAGGGTTTAGGGTTTAAGGTTTAGGGGGATGTTGGGCTTCGCGGCCTTACAATCAATGCGACCTGCCGAAATGGCGCCGAGGAATGCTAGCTGCGTTTTAGACTAAAATTCCAGTGTCTCAGCTGCGAGGTTGCTACTGAAAGCAAACAGAGTCAATAATTTGTCCCCAATCACGAAACCAGGCTGGACGTGGGAAGGCGTGCCTCGCGAATCTGCCTCTGCCTCTCTTCCTCTTCACGCGCCTTCTGTTGCCTCTTCTTCTCCTGCTTGAAAGAAGCTCGTGGGGCTACCGAGCAGGATGTTTAGGGCTTAGGGTTTAGGGTTTCTGCTTGCAAAAGCTCCGGAAAGAGAGCTGCGTACGGCGGGCGGGGCGAATGGTTGCGGGATGAGCCTCACCCCACCTGTCCGCCTGGAATGCTGCTAAGACACAAAGTGTGTTTAGGGTCAAGGGCATCGAGAACCCGAACTGTTGACAAAGAAAGCCTTACCCCCTGGCCCACTCGCCATGCGGAAATCGCATCAGAAAGAAGCAGCAGCGAGTTCAATAGGCGTCACTGACAAGTCCTATATAGTCTATACTCATTGTAGCAGCATGAGAGCCGCAACCAAAGGTAACAAGGGGTCATGCCCACTCAAATGCCAAGCCGGTAGTCTGGAATGCTGCAGCAACTGCCAGACCCCGATCTTTGATGAATACATTGGCTTCCTCTTCTTGGGCTGACAAGTTCTGTCACCTGGCTTGGTTGAGCTGTGTGTAGTTTACAGACTGAGGTTATGCCAAATGCAGTGATTTTTTAGATCTTTGGCAGCACAAAAGATTCCGGCTGTACAAGATATCAAAAAGGATCCCAGCACAACGCTCCTTGAATGCTGCCTTCTGCGCCTGCCAGGTCATGGAGGCTTTGAGCGTTGAAGGGATTTTGGGACTGGTAAACGGTCATCGTCTCGCTGACCACCAGAACCACGAACTACGTGTCCTGTCTGCACATGGTGCAGGCTGTCACTCTCGGTATGCTTCGTGATTTATGCCGTCTGGCGAGTTTGGCAAAGGTCCGAAACTCTACAAGGCCTTTCAAAACGGTGCAAGCTTTCTGTAGGCCAGAGCAGCTGCATGTTGCGTTTGTCGGCTCCTCCAGCTCCGTAAGCTCTGGTCGTGTTCCGTTTCAACCCCGCGAAAGTTATCAGATGGCAAAAGCAGTGACAACATCACACGGAAGCCCCTCACACTGTGAGGCTCAATGTGTTATTCATGGGTGCAATATCCAGCGCGGACACCGCTGCTACAGCTCTTGCAGCAATAAACGATAAACGTGCGTTGGTGCCCGAATCAAGGCATGTACATGTAGACATATATATACACACACATACATATACATACATATATATATATATACACATACATACGTATATATCTATGTATATATATATATATATATATGTGTGTGTGTGTGTGTGTGTTCATATACATATACATACCATGCCGGGGGGGCGGGGGGGCGGGGGGCTTGCCCGATAAGGCCCGTTCTGGTTACGTTCCTCTGTATGTGGTCAGAAATGTCTGCGGCTCGTGGTAGCGGGGCCGTCGCTAAATACAGCCGCTGTACATATGTTGCATACTGCAAGTACTGGTTGATACATGCTTAAAATTTACAAACGTGGTATACGGCAGGCCGGCCATACAGCAACAGCTTATGCACGGCAGAGCTGAGGTTATGGCGGCACGGCTCCAGAACTGAGGGTGTGACGACAAAAGCCACACCCTCGCATGAATTCACAACACATGTCCACTCCTCTCACCCACGCCTTACAAACACACCAACGAGCAATCGACCAGAGCATGACGCGATGGAACTCTTTTTTCAGAACTGCAACGGGGCGTCAACATGCTGAAAAAGCTTGTGTCGAGGCTCAGGATGTAGTTAACCTGGAAATCCCACGTACGACCTCGATATGGGTCTATAAACCTCTTTCCGAAGTAGTCTCACCCGGCTCAGGATCCGGGGCTTGGGCTTAGGGAAGACTCGCAAACAGCATACAAAGTCAGAGCCTCCCATTCTGGACCGTAGCGTGGGCGCTCGTTCACTCGATATTGGTCGGTGTCGGAACAAGCGCTTACGTCCGAGAAGGCCTCAGATTTCGGATTCGAGTGGGGTTGAGGGCTTGGGGTTTGTGGGTGGAGGGTTGTGGGGTCGAGGTGCAGAGGGTTTAGAAGTGGAGGGTGGCGAGACGAGGAGTTCGCCTCGCTATGAAACCACCTGCCGAGCACACAGCGCCTAGACCAATGAGGCGCACAAGGAGGTGTACCCTGTTGCAAGCCAGGAGCTGTGCCTAAACCTTATCAACAGTCCGCCTTGAAGCTTGCAGCATGTAAGAACATGCTGCAGTGACATCTGGGATGTTTAACAACTGTTTACTTGTTGTGACGAGTTTGAATGTTTCGTTACGTCGTTTGTGTTACCCTGCAGGGCGGGTGCGAGGCTCGTCCAGGCTTTGGGGTTTGCGGGTTTCGGCGCCCACTCCCGGAAGAGCCAGGCAAGGTTCAGGTAGGGGCCTTAATATTAGAATAGGGTTTCCGGGCCCAGTATTCTATAATTATAATAAGGAACCCCCAAAATAATATAGGCATTTACTTAGGCCCATACATTATCCGATGCTATTGAAGATGCAGGCTACCATGAGAATGCTTATTCAGTTGCAGCCTTCTTAAACTACACATCAGATTTGGGCTCCAGTTTGGCTAGGTACTACACATCAGGTGAGGAACCTGAACCGGGTCTTGAGTACAAAATAAACACTCGCACAACCTCATACGAGTAGGATCTCATAGGCTTATCCATGGGGCAGGATGTTCCGGGAAGGCAGGCTGCATCGTTCTTTGCATAAGGGCTTAGTCAATTGGTGACACAGTTGCCGCCAAGTTTTCTAAGTCTAAATAGATATTAAAAGCAGACTCCGTTCCCAAGCATATTGAAGGACATTCGACACACCTTAACTACTTCCTTGACCTGGAGGTGAGCGCTGTCGGGACCACTCTCTGCCAGCTCAACCTCCTCGCGAGTCCACTTATGCCAATACGTCTTTATACAGGCAATTCCCAAAAGACCTCGTGCTGCGAGGTGCTGGAACTCGTCAAATTGTGAACCATCCATAGGCTCCATTGTAGTTCGGTTTTGGGATTACCTTATAGAACCCAAAATGTAAACCACAAAAAAGGAACTATAATGGAGCCTATAGGCATCTTGACGAGCATCGACAGCTTGGAGCCAGCTTTCTTCTGCAAGCTGCGTGCGGGCTTGGGAAGTCGGCCAGGACAGGCGCAGAAGCATCGCGCCAAGCTGAGATCGTCCCCCAGACTCTTCCGCTGTGCGATGTTTACCATGTACACTGTACCCATAGCCCCCTTAGTAGTTCCTTTTTGGGATTACTTAATAGGATTCTAAATATGGGCCCCAAGAAGGAACTACTATGGGGCCTATGGGTACGCCTCTCCAAGATGGATCAAGTGGGGCTGGCATGACACACGAGGACACCAGGAGGCAAAACAGAGTGGACGCACACTGGAATGATTCCGAAACCAGACCTCAA